GAACATCCTCCCCTGAATTCTGTTGCTCTTCCCACGTCCCAGCGCTGCCGTGGAAAGTAGGCCAAGTGAGCACCAGGGCGTTGCTTTTTTTTTTTTTTTTTTTTTTTAAGATGATCAGTTTGTCAGTGTTTTTTTTTTTTTTTAATGTGTGTGTGCATGCTCAGGACAGCTATTCATGTCGGTGGAAACAAAGAGAAGCATTATACAATTTGCAAGCCTTTCCAGAAGAGGCGAAGAGGTTGAAAAATAGGGACAAGAGGAGCATGGATGAAACAATAACAAAAACTGGCTTGTTCTCTAATTCATTTACTTCCTCTTTCTTTTCTTAACGTCTTTGTTGCAGCAAAAAGGTCCCTTGCCAGTAACACTGCTCTGCAAGGATCACACTGCACTCTGGGCTGGTGTAGATTATTTTTAGCTATTGCTGTGCAGCTTTCACCTTGACTTCTTTTGTCTTGACATCATAATTAACATTTCTCTTAATAGCAACACAGTTCAATATTAATAATGATCTTTGACTTGAATTCAAAAAACTCCTTCAGAGTGTTGAGGAACCGTGAAGCTATTGCTTCCCATCGCCATCAAATGATGATATTCCCTGTAGAGATGGATTAGAGGCAGTGATGCAACATGTTGAAAATATACATTTTGATGGGAAGGAACTTGAGAATTATTGGACTTCCTGCAGACAGGGGGGAGTATAACAGTAAGTTGGCAATACCTCCATCATAGAGGTCAGCAGGTGAATTCAAGTTCTCCAGAGCGCAAAGGCTGCTGGGACTGTTTGGAGAGGGATGATGGCCAAGGTTAAAACTGGTTCTTTTCTACATTTCTGAACGCAACTAGTGCCTATTTCAAATTAATTCATTTTTAAGGGACTTTTTTCAAAGTCATATTCTTGCACCTGTTTCCCCTCTTTATAAGGTAATATGTTCCGATTAAAGACTGAAAATTTATATGTTTTTATTTTTTATTTTTGCCTCACTTTCATCAACGTGAGGGTTTTTTTTTTTTTTTTTAACTTCTCTTTCCTTAAATAAGTCATTTTAGATAGGCCAACAAAACAGTGATGGACACAACCGAGACGTGCGGGGCCGCTCTGCGAAGGGTATACCCTGGGTATTTGGTCATGTGTATTTTGGTCCAAATTTCCAGGGGATATTTTAGATGTTAATAGCCCTGAAGTGGTCTCGGTTTCTTATTTAATTTCTCTCGCCTTCTTTAAATGTAATTCGCCCACAGACTGCGCCGCGAGGCTCTAAACCGCGCAGAAACTCTCTCTCATCATTTCCACAGCAGAATGGAAATGCAAATTGCGCGCACGGGCAATGCCCTTGACAGAACTCACCACTGCACACAATTAACATGAGCGCCTCTGACAGAAGTCAGTGACGAAATGTGAGGTCACACCGGCACTGGGTCGGAAAACCTGCGCGCATTTATTTTAGACAAAATGTAAAAAAAAATAAAAATAAACAAACATTTAATAATAAGAAAATAATACTTGAAGGTGATACGTTTCTTTTTTTAATACTACTTTTTGTGAATGTTTTGAAATAATATTACACATTTTTATGATCATGTCTTCAAATATTTTTTTTATCGTACTATTATTATTTGCTTCTCATGATGATAATTAGTATTTTTCTTTCAATCATCATAAAGATGATTAATTCTGCTTATCTTTTCTCTAAAAATGAGCACAGCTGCCTTGAAGATTGAGGAGATGATCTCATGTGTAACCAACGAGGGGCGCTGTCCGTCCATCAGCGCCAGCATCCTGACGCGGGCTGGGTGCTCAGCGCCCGCCTGATCCCGTGATTGATCTCGCCACTCTCCGTCTGTGTTTTACCGCTATAATTAAAAATAACGCGCAGGCTTGTGTTTTAATGCGATGTTTGAATATGTCACATGGCATTTTCGAAAGTCCATAAATCAGGCCTGGAGTTCAGAAAGTTTCTATAATTAGGAATTCCATTTTTTTATGCAGAATTTTACTAAATATGTATATTTTTAAAGAAATAATGTTTTCTAATTAAGCATAATAACTAATTTGTAATTTAAAGTAGAACTTTAAATGTTTATAAAGCTTTAAAAAATACATTCGTTTTTCAATAAATTTATTTTTTGCGCAATTTATTGAAATAATTATAGGAGGGTATTATTTTTTTAGAGCTGGCAATTTTACTTTCTTTAAATAAAGGTAAAAAAAAATACATTTATTGTTTGTGTTACAAACAATAAATTCACTCACTGTTTTTCCCACAATGACTTAGGAATGATGCATTTACTGTAGGCGGATTTGATTAATAATAAATCGTGGAAAAAAAGAAAGACTTGTTTAAAACAACCTCTATGAAAAAGCAGTGAATGATCTAGCTTTATAGGAGCTAATAAGACCCATCCTTCTCTTTTTCTCCTTTTTTTAATCATTCCCTCTTCTTCTATCGCCAATCAATCTATTAGGAAACAATGCAGGTGAGTATAATGAAAGTGTTGTCCCAATAAAGTGCATCGATGGACAGCTGGGCAGCGGCCGGCTGATTGACTTTGCCTTGACATCTGGGAGGCCCGCTGGCCCCTGGCACGCGTAGAGGCTGATGTCGCCATTTACATGCAAATTTAAGGAGATCATGAGGGCCTCGCCCCGTAAATTCACACACGCAGAGACAAACACACACACAAAGAAAGACGTCACCCTCAATGCGAAGGATGCACGTACACTGAAGGTCTTCCCAAGTTTTTTTCTATTTTTATTTCTTTATTTTTCATTATTATTAATGGAGGAATTTGGTTTGATAACCGTCTTCTGACTCAAATCTTTGGGGGCCCATTCATCGTGGTCACTGAATAGAAGAGTGAAGATCAGCCGTTTCATTTAAGACAGAGCGCATTCTGGCTCCAAAAGCGGGCCAAGATGCAGATCAAATATAGTTTGCACTTGTCACCCACCACTTGCCTCCTGCGCACTGCTGAGGAAATATTAAATTTTTATTTAATCCAAAAAAAAAAAATGATAACAATCCCTTTGAATCCACTCGTTTCCATGAATGTAAGCATTAAACCAAACAGGAGAAACCATCTTTCCCAATATTTATACCTTATTATTTCTGACGCTATACCATTTCACCTAATGATGGAGAGCGCATTTTCCACGGTGTAAAGCCCACCACGCAGATGATCCCACAGAATGAGCTGAGACGGATTCAGGCTCCGCGCATGCAGCAGCAAGCAGCAGCTGACTCCCTCTCTCCGCGTCCAGATGGCTCCTGCACACAGATTTGCATTCATTTCCCCCCCCCACCACCACCCTCCTTTAATATCTTCTGAAATAGCGGGGGGACAGCTGCATTTGTTGTCAAATACGGTTTAAAAGTCCCTTTCAGGACAGCATCGTTACCTACGTGACGGGTGTGGAGATCCATTTTCCCTCTCCAGTCAACAGTATCAGATCTAAGAGGATTTGTCTCAAAAGTCTCCCTAATTTGATAATCAGATTTAAATCGCCTCGGTGCGTGTAATCAGGGGTTAAGTTCTAATAAGCGACTTGAAAGTGTGCAACAAAAAAAAAAGGAATAAAAGAAAAAGAAATAAATACTATGCGCGCAACAGACACATTTGCAATATGTCTCTCCTTGAAGAGAAAATACGATTAAAGAGTCCCATCTGATGTGTCAAAGACACTTTTATTTCTTTGCAAACTGGAAGTAGGATCGATTATAAATTAAAAAAAAAAAGTTTAAGAAAAGCAAACCTTTATTTTGTGACTGAGCAATTTGGCAATATATTTTGCAGAGGTGAAAGCAACAGCTTATAATTCACTTATCTTTGGCAGCAGCTATTAACCCTCAGCACCAGCTAGATAGATTGCTCAGGATATAGCACACATCTCTCTTCCTCGCACCCTCCCCTTCACCCCCTTTCACCCCTCCTCCCCACCCCCCTTTTCACCACTAATGAACCGAATTGCTTGCTTGTCCCTCTCGGACAGAGTCGGACATGTAAGGCAGTTGGCCTCTTTAAAAATGATTAAGATGTTTCTGATTATTACTGATTTTACGGGACGTGCATGAAAATAAGAGGGAGGAGAGAGAAGCTGCGTGGGGGTCTGCAGAAAGTTGCTCTTAACATCCTGGATGTGACTATTTTAATGAAATCAACATAGTAGTAAGAAATAAATAAAAATAAAGGTCTTTCTTAAATTGACATTTCAAAGGCTTGCAGCGACATTTAAATTAATGTTAAAAGAAATGCTCAGATTATTCAAATCTCTGTGAAATTAAACTATTTCCATGCAACAGGGAAAAAAAATCATATTTGTAAAATTTCTCAATAAAAAAAAGTTTTATAATGTATAACCAATTTTCATTATTTGACATGGAACCTATGTTATAATTTATTAGGTGAATTAGCTCTATTTTTTAAACACTTATGAAACAAAATAAAATATATAGAAGGGTAAAATGATAAGAATAAGCGTGTTGTGCTTTTATAGAAATAATGTGGCCTAAAATGCTTTCAGAATATTAATGCGCCAAAACTTTTTACAATAAATATATGCAAAAAAATTTAATCAATGGGAAAAAAAATATTTTAATTAACTGTAAGTAAAACAAATAAGCGATTATAATTAAAGAAAAAAGAAAAGAAATATGAATTCTGAAGATCGAATTATTTATATGCGTTTTTATTATCACTATTAGAATTATATATAAATTTTTTTTATTATAATGTTTGATGATTACACCCCGGTTGTATCGTCCATATCATTAAAAAAGTCAAACTCACCACATATAGGGGCCTAAGCAAGAAGGGAAAAAAGTGGAGCGAGTGAGTGTTCTCGTGCTGCTGCACTAAATGGGCTGCACCCGCGGAGTGGAGCGCCGCTGCCTGACAGGAACCGTCAGCGCTCCATATATGGTCAAAAGCCCGCCCCTTTCGGCGTCACGTTCTGACAGCGCCTCTCCCGTGGGTTTAGAGTTTTGGCTCCCGGGAAAGATTTCAGTCCTCGGGGAAAGAGGGCTTAGTTTTGCATGTTCCCATCCATCCTGCGCGTCGCGAAAGGGGCCCCCTTATCCACCTCTCCTGTGTACGAGGAACACCTCCACTGGTGATCAGCCTTTGCCTTCGTGTGTTTGTCTTGCGGAGAAGCAGCAGCAGCAGCAGCACCACCAGCAGCAGCACCTTTTTCCAGGAGTGGGGCTTGCTTTTTTTTTTTAATTCAACGAGAAGTCCTGAAGGTTTTGGATGCGTGCGCTTCAGGGATGTGGGCACTTTGAGAGCAGCAGCATCACCCACAAACACAAACAACTGCCATCGATTTTTCTCTGAATAGCACAGAAAAAGACAAGAAGAAGAAAAAAAAGAGGAACAATAGCAACACAAAAAAAATCTTGTCTATTGAACAATTCACTTTTGCAGTCTGTGGATTTCGCTCTAACTAAGTACAGCACTTTGAGAATTGCTCACATCGGACGGACTGAAGAGGGAGGAAAGACCTGTGGACCGGGTTTGTCTTATCCCGCAAAGATAAAACCCTGAAGGATAACACGCTTGGACGTTTATTTCCCATCATTTTCACAGGAGGCTCTTCTATTTTTTTTTCTTCTTATTATAATTTCCACGCAAATTGTCCTAAATGTTTGGGATTCAGGAAACTATACCGCGGGGTGGGACGACGATGAAGGAGGAACCGCTGGGTGGACTGAACTCAGTCCGCTCCTGGATGCACACAGCTGGGGTGGTGGATGCAAACACAGCCGCCCAAAGGTACGCATGCCAAAAAATGCCTCTGATTTTCTTTTTTTTTCTCCTCCGCACGCATTCAGCCCCTCATCATATCGACCCCTCAATCCCCTGAATACTCTGTATCAATTACGGTCTCCCAATAAAATGCCCCCCCTTCGGCTTTCCGCTTCTTTCATTACATCAGATTAGCCATTATTGTGACAAATCAAGAAAATCTCCACCCGTTTATACTCAGGCGCGCTTCCTGCATCCTCAATGTGTCCCCCCCATCAGCTTCTCCATCATCTAGTGGTATGTCCCCGGTGTCCGGTGCTTTAACCGAGATGGTGTCTTGTTTTCTCCCCGCAGCGGTGTCGGCTTGGCACGGGCACATTATGAAAAGCAGCCCCCTTCCAACCTCAGAAAATCCAATTTTTTCCATTTCGTCCTGGCGCTGTATGACAGACAGGGTCAGCCCGTGGAGATCGAAAGAACAGCTTTTGTGGACTTTGTGGAGAAAGAAAAAGTAAGCATAGTATTTTTTTTTAATATTATTATTATTTAGAAATAAACAGATCTCTGCAAATAATCCACACATGTTTTGAAATTATAATCTGAAATGATTACAAACACGTGTTTATTTATTTAAAACTTTATTCACTTATAACTTATAATCACTAAAGAAAAAAATATTTTTTATATTTAAAATTTAATATGACGCACATATTTGTTAGTTTTAAAAATATTTTTTCCCTGATGCTGAATCTCTCAAACTCTTGTCTTCTGCAGGAACCAACCAGTGAAAAAACTAACAATGGAATACATTACAAACTACAGTTATTGTACAGCAACGGTGAGTAAAAGTGCAAATAAAAAATAAATGCAAGTATTTATAAAATATATATTTCCATTTGGACGATGCGTGCTTATTTTTTTCATTTTATTTTATTTGCAAGCTGAAAATTCCCCAAACAATCCTAAAGTGCGCCTTTTTCTGTCTCCCCAGGCGTCAGAACAGAACAGGATCTTTACATACGATTAATCGATTCCATGACGAAGCAGGTAAGCTGTTTGGAACATCTTTCACTTTCTTTTACGCACAGCGCAAAAAAACCTTAACTTGCCGTGCAAATCGTCACCCCCACAGACAGGCAAAAACATAACTGCACTCATGGCATAAAATAAAATCAAATTAACTCCGTAATCAGAAGAGACAGCTTCCATTTTACCTGTTTACGTTTGACCCTACATTATTACTAGACTCAGAAAAGTCAATGTCACCCTTGAGTTTTTTTTTTTTCCTTTTTGGGGGGCTTTTTTTGTAAGCTCAGTTTGTAGAAGCATTAAAAATTTACACCCCACATCCGCTCCATATGATCTGATTTGCCTTTCCTTGCAAGGAGTCAGAGGTGACGCTTTAAAGCAGTTTGGAAATAGAGTTTTTTTACATTAATATGCAAAAATAACTTTAAATTCAAACGCACGCTGCGGATTTTAAATCGTGCGTAAACCCCGATTAGCTGTGGATAAATAAATCAATTAAATCAAATGATCAGTTATTAAAAAAAAGCAGTTTATATATGTGTAATTTCTACCTCATGATTTTTTTTCTGTTTTGCTACTAAACGACGGGGTTAGATAGAGCCGTGGAGCTTGGACAACATTCCTGCGCGAATGATCCGAGTCAATGACGCAGAACAAGCAATTTATGGATTTCTGTTACTGCAGCTACAAATAGCCACATAAATCAAACCAATATAGATAATCGCCAGTTGCAAGCATGTATAAAATGCAACAAAAAGGATAAAAAAATGCATAATGCAGGTCAAGTTAGATATCTTTTATAATGTGAGTGATGCGACCTGGTTCAGATGTGTCACTCTTTTCCCCAAATCGTTTTATCCTGTTGGCCTGAAGCGTGCCAGACAATGATTGAATTTATTAATGGAAGCACAGTTTAAATCAGCAATAAAAATTATCTCCTTTCTTATTTGTTGCATCATTTTTTTATTGACATTGACTTGTTAAATTTTCCTTTCTGTTCTTATGTGCCTCATTATATTAGTAAAAGAAGGGGAAAAAGGAGTATACTTAGAAATGGAAGAAGGAAAGAGAGGAGAGGGAGGGAGGGGATCGAGGGAGGGAGAGAAGAGCGGCAGAACTGATAGCTCCACGCCATCTGTTTCAGCCAATGCTCAAAAATTACTCAACCGTACCGCCAGACACCGCTTTTTATCCACAGAAAGATCATTGTTAGCGGCTCAAAATAAACAACAGATTGCCCATTAACACTTTCCCCCAAATATCCCCAGATTATAAGCATATTGATGACACTTCTATTGGATCTCTGCTCGTGAAAAATCTCCCTATGTGTCTGTGCGAGCCACAGGATATTACCGAGATTAATAAAACAAAAAATACAATGTATTATTAGGTTATTATAATAACTATCAAGAACATGCATTTTTTTTATTTTTAATAAAAAATGTTACAAGACATAAAATAATAATTTGTGCTATTTATATTGATGATAGTATGTTTTTTATTTGTTTAGTATTTTTTAAATAGATGTTTGGAACACATATTATTCTGAGTTGCATTTAATTTTTTTAATTTGTTTTGTTTTCAGGAGAATTAATATCAGTATAAAAATTGTATTGCCAGAATTTGTTATAATTGATATCTTTCTCATTTTGCTTTAAAAAAAAAAAAAAGGCCATAGTTTATGAAGGACAGGACAAGAATCCAGAAATGTGCAGAGTTCTTCTCACTCATGAAATCATGTGCAGGTAAGCATTCTGTGTAGCCCAGTTCTTAATTATATATATTTTTTATTAATGCAATTATTTTCCATGCGCTGTCTGTTTTTCAGCAACAAGGCAAAATGTTATTCTCTTCCCCTCCAATAAGTTTTGACACTTTTGATGTGGTGCAGCAGACTAAATTGTTCTGTGGTCCTTCAGCAGCCACACACACTGAGAGAGATAGAGGAAGAATGAGAAAGCTGCTGTCATTTCCAACTTTGATATGATGTGATTAGACTTTGATACAAATATGACAGTGAAAATGAACAGACTGTCTTTTTTATTGAATGGAAATTGGCATAACCACACAAGATTCAATTTCATTTTTTTTTTTTACTTAATGTGATTTCTTTAGGCGCTGCATGCCACTGTTAATGCTCCGTTATGCATAAATGCAGCATGCAGTGCATTCTCTCTCTTTTTTTTTATTTTAGCACAGAGTGATTTCTCGCTTGATCCCACCTGTCAACACTGATCAGCGAGCCTTTTAGTGTCATTTAAACCACGTAAATCTCAACAGCTCACGTTGCACCCGTCTATTCATTGGTGTCACTGATACTAAAAGGAAAAAACTCCTTTTGTTGTTATTGTTGAGGCTCAGCGTGAGCTCTGTGAACACTGAATTTGGATACTGTCGGTTAACCTCTCCTTTGTTGCACCCGGTGCATTGTTCAAGTTTGCTAGTTGGGGAGCAGGAGCAGCATGAGAGCAGAGAATGATTTGTCCTTTTTCATGCATAAACTCATCACTCACGCTCAATTTATACATGCATCCATCACTTATTTGTGACACACTGAATATGCTCGTGCTGTAGGGGTAATTCTTTTTTTTTTTTTTTTATCAAGAGGAAGTGCATTTTGTTGCTGCATAAAATAAGTACTAGAACCTATTACTGCATATATAAGAATGGGGTTTTGATATATTACCTAATTCTATCTTTTTCTAGCTTGTTTTGAATTACATTTTTTTTCTTTAATACATCTCTGCTATAAAGCACTCCTTTAATATTGCTTCTTGTAAATAAGGGACAGTGTGTGGTTGACTGACAGAAGCTTTGTTTTTCTCCTTGCAGCATATGGCATAAATCAATCCCATTCACATATGCTTCTATGTTTTCATCTCGAACGGAAGCAGAGATGATGCATTTGTTTGCTGCTGCTGTTTTTTTTTTTTTCTTTTAATGCACTTCCTGATTCCAACCAAATCAGTGGTAGGCAGCAGCTATAGGTTTTTTACAGAAATGAGAGAGCTGAAGCATGTGCTGGAAGATAGATTAGTGCTTTTGAGGGCCATAATTGATAAATGCCCTGCAGAAATATTGGTTGAGGGTGGCAACTTGCATCTCCCTCAGAAATAGCAGCTTGGCAATTAGAGGTAAACAAAAGCTGAAGCTGTGAAAAGTGACTCCCCTGCCTCCTGGCCCAGTCCCCACTCCCCTCCCTTCCATTGCTAAGCCAAACAACACAACATGTTGTTTTCACCATTTTTATCAACCACCAGCATCAATTGGATTGGGTAGACTGAGTGAAGGAAATCTCAAGGCAGCGTCTAACCACTCTGATGTACTTAGTGAATAAATGTTCTGATATTTAGCTAATTATTTTTTGTTAAAAGAAAATCGTTTTCTCTGTGTCTGCAGCCGATGCTGTGATAAGAAAAGCTGTGGAAACAGGAACGAGACCCCGTCAGACCCAGTCATCATTGACAGGTAGGCTGTGTGTAACATTCTGCGTGTGTGTGTGTGTGTGAGAGATCAGGTAATAAGTGAGTCACACTGACTAAACGGATGAGTGACTGAGAGCTTGAGCTCCCTCCTGGTGCACCAGTCTGGCCCAGTTGGGCTGACTTGCATCTTCCAGCACCATAGTGTGGGAACTGCGGGTGAGTCTGTGTGAGCGGCTAAGGGGCGTCTTTCCCAGGTAACCTGTGCACCACCGAGGGGGCGGTCACCACCTGGATAGGGTCTGTTGGATCACAGGTGGTCGAGCCACCAGAGGATCATACTGGGAACATGTCTAATTAGCTCACTCTTATCTGGCATGCTGTTCCATCTTTATTTTTGACAGCGACGGCATCAATAATAATAGCTTTTCATGGACTGCTCCTTCCACTAGTGGTAAGCTGAAAGCTAAGTTCCCCATTAAAGTTTTGTTTTAAGGGGGATAAACATTTTATGGCTGCTGTTTTGTGCTCCACCTGAAAGGAAGTTGCACCTTGCACATTTATATTACCTTCAGCACTAAAAAGGGAGAATAAACGCTCCTCTCTACAGGCGCTGACATTTCTTTCACATGCCGGAGCAATAGGTCCTGGTCTGTGAGGGGTTTGTTAAGGTTGAACATGTGTGTGTTTGTATGTGTGTGTGTGGTTGAATATAGAAGTGATGCAGGGTGTTGCAGCCTGAGCATTGGCTCTCAATGTAACTCTCACCACGTAGTGAGGGAGGCAGCAATGCTAATGTTTGACTAGCCGGAATCACTGTTTGCTTAGCGGAGAATGCCTGGTATCTGACAGAGGGGACAACTCTCTTATTAGTAATCAAATAGGGCTGAGCAGTTGTTGCTGCCACTCCACTCCAGCGGCTTCTCATGCATCAGGAAGTAGAAGCCGGCTGCCCTGGGAGCCTGGATGGATTACCAGGGCTACTGCTGTCTGAACCCCAAACTCACGCAGACACACATGCACGTCAACACACACTCAGATGAGAACACCAGTGCAGTGAGAGACACGCTTTCTGCAGGCATGCATGCACATTTTCTGTATGTTGTTTATACTACTACTGAGATTGACTCATATACGTCTACAGATAAACAAAAAAAATGAGGACACCTATGTAAAATTCAATGCTTTTCTAATCTTACTGTTTGTTTACATACATTTGAGTAGTATGAAAATACATGATACTTCTATATTCCACATAAATATATTTTAATTATGAGTGGCAGTAAGAGGTGCCTTAAAAAATAACACAGTATAGAAACAGATTTCAGATCATTATAAAGTAAACATACTTCTAACCATTTCTTGACAAAATGCACCTGATGTTTTAATTAAGAATCAATATTTGATGGAGCTACCAAATTGTTTAAAAGCATTTTTTAAAACCTCTTTGAATGAGCTCAACACGTATTTCACATTGTTGTTGGGTTGAGGTGATAACCGCATTTCCACCTCAGTGATGTTAGCTGCTTGTGATGAATAAAGTGGATTAGTTGTCATGTAGAGATGCTTATTTCAGGAGAATTTGCAGGGGTCGCTTCATACTTTAAAGAGCTGTAATATATATATATATATATATATATATATATATATATATATATATATATATATATATATTTATTTATTTATTTTACTAAATGTTGTACAATCATAATCTTAGTCTTCAAATATTTATACATTTTCTTTAGAACAATCTTAGTAGATGTAGAAGCTATATTTAACAGTCAGGTTCATTTATCAAAGATCAGACTAAATCTCAGATATGAACTTTTTGCCCGGATTTCCGGAGCTTTAATGTTTGCTTTGTGTTGTTGCTACTGTTTAAAGTTTCGCACACCATTGTCCCTCATTCTGTCCTGACAAAGCGTGTAACTTAAGTACAATAAACGAAATGAAAGCGTGCAGAATTAAAGTCAAGAAGAAGGGGTGGGAAAAAAAGTTGGGGGTAAAAAAAAGAAGCGGATGGATATTGTAAGCTCAACTGGCTCAGGGAGGGCTCGGATTTTCATTGTGACGAGTCTGAATAGGGGCAGAGTATCCCTTTCCTTGCACAATGAGCAGCTCTGTTGAAACACAAAAGCATATGTTCCTCATTAGACCCTCCCATTGTCTCCATGTCGTAACTATGAGCCCGTCAGCTCACCCTAACAGACCCACGCAGGTTCCCAGTGGCTGAGGGGGGAGAGCTCGTGGAGTCGGGGGCGCTTGTGAAAGTTTGCAGAGTTTAGCAAGAGTTACGGACATGACCCGAACACCCGCCTTACTTACTGTACGATAATTTAGAGCAGTTACTTGACTCTTCCTGCAGTGCATATGGTTAAGCTTTTAGTTTAAGCCCCCTTGTTTTACAGCCATTTCTGTTACATCTGTCATTTTCTCATGCACATCATTAGAGGCACCTGTGCTGTGGTCGCTGCTGGCAGAAACTGATTATTTCCAATTGAGTAGAACATAGCTGAGTGACATAAACCTAGAAGAGCAGTTTGATTGCTGAATCAAGGATGTCTCATCTGTCTAGAATTACAGCTTGAGAGGAAAAGGAAAACAAAACAAAAAAAAAAAAAACAGAAAAAAAAAAACAACCCAAAAAAAGCCAGCACTGCCACATTTCGTTGAGAAACAGTAGCATGGCTGAACCTTAAGAAACAGATTTGGAGTGAATCATTGATGGCTTTCACTCTCTGTAACATTTTCCCAGATGGTACGAGGGGGGAAAGCGCACACAGCTAGCTGGCATCTAGCAAGACATTAACTGGCGTTCCCATGGATCTGGCATATCCAACGGAGTTTGGGAAACTTATCATTCCAAATGTGTCCTATTTTCCTGCGGTCAAGCCAGACATCTGTTTACCCTATTTTCTCCCTGAGTTTTGATACAGATTTTCACTCAGATTTCTGAAGAGGAAGGATTCTCTTAAAAAAAAAAAAGAAAAAAAAAATGTTGGTTAGATATTGGCCCAACAGCTGTCACAAAGTTTCAGCTCTGCTTGGGCTTTAAATATTTCAGCAATTACACTTGATGCCCTTGCATTATTCATATTTGTTTTTGGATGAAGAAAAGTCCTATTTTTGATCAATTCTTGTGGCTTCATACTAGGCATGGGTTCGCATGAAGTTCTCACGGTTCATAAAACCACCACTAAAAATATAGAACAAACTGGTAAATTTATTCTAAAACAAAAAAGCAACACTTATCCCAATGTTAAAGAAATAACTTATAATTTATAATAATTTGTATTTCCATTTTAATTTTTATGGATATACAGTTCATTTTAAGCAATAATATTGAATAAAACCCTGATAAATTAGGGAGTTATTTGGAGGTTCTTATTGTGCTCATTATTATGTTGTCATTCATAATATCTGTATAAAACGCTACTGTTTTCTGGTTTAATAATATGTCTATTATTTTAATAGGCTTATTAGTTGTGCTTTTTTTTTTCTTTCCATACCTTCGGTTTCCTTTTTTAGATTTTTTTGGCAAAAGCAAGAGAAACGTGTAGCACCCATTTAAGTAATAAGCAGCAACAAGTGGGGAAGAGACATTTTTTGTATCACTCAATGCCTCATAAAGATAGAGGAAACTGGTTTTTCAGGAAAATGTTCTAAGATCGTTTTAAAAGGCCTTTGAGGAATGGAGCGATGAATAGATTTGAAGCTTGCAACTCTTCAAAACCTTGTCATACCTTGATGCCAACCTCTCATTATAGTAATTGCATTATATCTGAAGTTTTAAGTATATTTTCCAATATATTATAAAGAAGTTTTGTTTCCAAGTAATATCAACATTTCTCTTCAGACATAATATGTGAAAAAATATATTCAAAGCCAGTTGGTACAAGAATTAGATTAATCTAGAGACTAATTGTTGTGGTGTTGCTATGGACACATCCCTTCCCAGTTTGCATAAATCCAGCAGAGCTGCAGATGTCACTTTTATAAGTTAATGGTGCTTTAAAGTAACTGGGGGAGCGGGTTTATTTAGTCTGTAATTTAAATCTTGAGAGTTATAGTGATGAGGTACCCAATATCTGATTAGATGTTTTTTTCCCCCCCATTTACAGTGCACCCAGCATATATCCCAAACATAACTTAATTTACGATGACTCTTCTGGTCTGGGATCTGTCTTCACTCTTCTGCATATTGACTTTGTCTTTTCTTGTGTGAAAGATTAGATACATTGGCCAGGCTCTCACATGGATTTTGTAATAAGGCGGCACATGTTGTTGAAAGATGAGAGAAAATGACTCATTCGGACTGTCTGGGTTCAAAGGTCGCTTTTAGCCTGGGAAGATTTGGTCTTTTTTTTAAATTATTTTTTGGAGGCAGACATCAGACAGGCAGAGGCAGAATGTGGTGTCAGTGTGTGAATTCTGATTTTTTTTTGTATGTTCCTGTGGTCAAACATCCTGTCTCGATTTTTGTTGCTATTCGTAAACAGTTTTTGGAAGAGAGAGAAACATGTCAGCTTCATTTTTTCCAGTGGCCACAGCACTCCATTTCACTTCCTGTCACAAAGGTCAAAGAGCGCTGACCTTTGGAGTGCAGCCCAGCCACTGAATAATTCATGACATTGACTTGTTTTTTCCCTTTATTTTTTCCCCCCCTTGCCTCCTTTTTTTTGGTCAGCACACATGGCTGTGCAGTGGGAGGCTTTTATTCATTTAGCTCATTTATAAAGGGCTTCACTGCACCTGTTTGTGTGTTAATGCAATTAGATTTTGGCCTAATGTAAATTTTGCTTAGCTTTCTGTTATGTCCCTCATTAGCCAGCCTGTATTTTCTAAACGACTTTGCGTTATCGTTCATTTGCGGGAACACCTACGAGGTCATTTCCCAGAGTGCACTTGACTTGTTGTCAAGTTGTTTACCAGAAACAAAAGGGACCGCAAGCCTCAGAACGTCTCACAAGCGGCCTCCTAAGAAACAAATCGGGGAAATTTGCGCGCTCCCATCTGGTTTTTGCAGAGCCGTGATTACCTCCGAAA